TTTTTTTTTTTTTTTTTTTTTTTTTTTTTTTTTTTTTTTTTTTTTTTTGCTGTGCAGAAGCTCTTTAATTAGATCCCACTTGTCCACTTTTGTTCTTACTACAATTGCTTTCAGAATCGTCTTCAAGAAATCTTTGCCAAGTCTCATGTTCAGAATTGCATTTCCTAGGTTTTCTTCTAAGGTTTTTATAGTTGTAGGTTTTACATTCAAGTTTTCACACCACCTTGAGTTGATTCCTGTATATGGTGTAAGGAAATGGTCCAGTTTCAATCTTTGGCATGTGGCTAACCAGTTGTCCTAGCACCATTTATTGAATAAGGAGTCGTTTCTCCTTTTCTAGTTATCATCAGCTTTGTTGAAGATCAGATGGTTGTAGGTGTACAACTTTATTTCTGGGTTCTATATTCTGTTCCATTGTTGTATGTGTCTGTTTTTGTACCAGTTTCATGCTGTTTTGTTTAATATAACCTTGTAGTATAGTTTTAAAAAGTTGGATAGTATGATGCCTCTAGCTTTGTGTTTGTTTGTTTGTTTGTTTTTGCTTAGGATTGCTTTAGCTATTTGGGCAATTTTTTGGTTCCACATGAATTTTAGAATAGTTTTTTATAATTCTGCAGAAAATGTTGTTGGTAGTTTGATAGAAATACCATCGAATCTATACGTTGCTTTGGGCAGTATAGTGAGGTAGTTTCTTCAAACAATTTCCCAAAAAATATTCATAATTTATTAGTTATTTGTGGACAAAGTGTAGATTTGTGTCATCTAGTGTCTCTTGTATCTATGCCTTTAGCATCTAGAGCAATGCATTTTAGAATTATACTTAACAACTATTTGAATACATCAATAAATTGAATGTTTTCATATTTATTATATATAATACTGGATGAATAATTTTGGTCTAGCATCTAGGACTTTAAACAATAGCCCCTATGTATTTTTAGTTTTTTCGATGTTTAAAAAAACTACAGATCCTTCTTTTATCATCCTCATGTTGAGCTCAGAGAATTTTGACAATGAATTAATGCATATACATATATTTAAGTCACTTAGGATAATGTGTCTAGGTACTTTACTTATTATTTTCATTAATATTCTTGACACTCCAAAACAAGCAAAATTTCCTTTCCTTTGCCATATAGAAATGGTATAAATTGCATTATATAAATTAATTTTCCTAAGGAAAATGTTCTTTAAAATTACTTTGGACAGCAAACTTTATCCTGAAAGTTATTTGCTTGTTAGCTTGATTACCTCATTGATGTTGCATCTACAGTTAGTGATTTTTTTGTAGTCTTTCTTAAACCTTTATTTTATCATTATGGTTTTTTTGTTCTTCTCTTTGTCTATTTTCACAGCTATTTAAAAATATTTTAAATTTATATATCCAGTATATTTAGTACGATTTTTTTTCTAGATTAAAGGCACCAGATCTATCTGAAAACAACTTTTAAGAGCTGGTCAACACAGAAATCCATAGTAAACAACAAGTTTTTTTCTAGACTGTCTTGTCTCATCTTTAGTCATGGCTTCCAGCTACATCATCTTTAATCATAATAAACTTTCTTTATACAATGTTGATCTTTTTAAAATAAATAATATTGTATTGCTTTTATCTCTGTATTTGGAGTTCTGAACTCTTATTTTATGTTATATTGATTTAATTAGAAATAAATACCTAGTTGAGACTTTTTTTAATTAGAATTAAATACTTAGTTGAGAAGTTTTTATTGTCTTTGTCAGAGTCAGTTCTTTTTGAATTATAAGTTGGTAAGACATTACTTCAAATTCTTCATTGTATATCTATCTGCCCTCTTAAGTGATACTAACAATCCTAAAACATAGTACACACCCCTCACAGACATGCTTAAATTTAAATCTGTGGGGTTCTAATGGTTCTATAGTTTGGATCCTCTATGTGTAAGTGTGCCTAGCAAAATGCTTTGAAGTGAGGAGACATTTAATAAATATCTGTCTAAGTGAATTGAATAGTTATGTATTTTAGGGAAAATCCAAATTTATGCTGTGGAGGAAAATTCATGAATGATCATAATTACAATTTAACCAAATGATGACAGAAAACTCTAATAAAGGACTGAAGTTTTTCTTTAGGGCTCTTGTATTCTTCCCACATCCTCCTTCATTGTTTAAAATCTATTGCTTTCTCTCAACTAGCCATTAATGCTGTTTGATCCTCTAATGGTTTCTCAGTGGGCATCCATTTATTTCTTTATTTCTAAAGAAATAAATCTCTTCTTTAGAACAGAGATTTATTTCAAACTGTCAGTGCAGCTAAAAGCCTTGGCTTCTTTGGGCTGAACTATGTTTTAAAACCATTTAAAATAGAGACCAATATTTTAAAATATGGATTTCTTACTTCTCTTGAATGAAACAGATCTCATCACAGTGGATCTCTATTTCTTCATGGCAACAATATTCTGGAGCCAGCCTTGACAGATGGAACTTAAATTCTCAGGTCAACACATTCACTCCATTACCTTCTGGCTCCTGTAGGCTTTTGGGTTATAGCCTTTGCAATACTCAAGTAATCCTCCATTTTCATTCCCAGTAGAACTTTCCTGATATGACCTATATTTTTTTCTCTTTTTTTAAAAATTATGCTTTAAGTTCTAGGATACATGTGCAGGATGTGCAGGTTTGTTATTTAGGTATACACATGCCATGTTGGTTTGCTACACCCATCAACACATAAGAGCATATGACAAGTATAGTGATTGGTCGGTATCTGCTCTCTTTTTTCTCGCCTAAGTGCAAGAAGTGCAAGCCTACCTTACAGATGTGTACAATATATAACTATTTGTAATGTACATTTTGAAAAGAAGTGACTTTCAAGTTCAAATATAGCTTCTAAGCTGGGCTTCTTTGGGACTTGAATTTTCAACCATTATTAAGTTCTTTGGACTATGAAAATGTTACCAGTGGTTATATTTAAAATTTCTGGTAGTGACCAAACATTAGAATTAAAAAATTGGTCATGTTTTTCATTTCATATTCTCCTCTTTTTATTGCATCTTTGTTAGGCATCACGGTCTTGAGTAACACAATTAAATACCCTTTTGTCAAACCATTTCATAATCATAATCATGTAGAATAGGTAAACATTTTAAATTTTCAAATTCTTATGCATATACCAGATCTACCACATACATATTAAGAAAAAACAAATAGTATGTAGTTTTTAGCCTCCTGTTGAACAACATTATAATCAGAGGACTGAAGATGTTGTTGTGGAACAACTTTTTTAAAAACATGACATATCTATGTTAATATTTTGGAAAAGTGTCAAGAAAATTATTGTAGGATCTTAATTTTTATTTTATTACCATTTAATTATGACCCATTGATATTCAACATGTTACATGTGTACTTTTTTACAAGTGAAAAAAAATGTAAAGATCTAGAATGTGGGTTAATCAAGAAACCATAGTTTTCTATAGAAATATAGAGACTTTTAAAGGAACTGATATTAATGGGTACCTGTAATGTGAAATAAGTATTTTACATAGTTGTCTCACTTGATCTTTATAACAATTCTGTGACTTCATTGTGAGTATTTTATAAAATGAAAAGAATTGAGGATGAGTAGGAAGAAATAAATGACATGTCAAACAGCTGCCTTGGGAACTTCAATACCCCATATACCTTGGGATTGCTCTATGAGGAAAAACAAACTACTGCACCAAAGTCACTTTACCTTATTTCAAAGATTCATAACCTTTATTCATTTCCATCCAAATATTTTAAATTTTAGAAACACATAAACTTCAATAAACATTTAAGATTTTGTTTCATATTATGATGTCTATTAAGGGAACAAATAGTAGGGTTACATGACGGGAGCAGAAATATGATAACAGAAAACAGGCAAAAACTATCAAGGAAATGAATTTGGAAATAATTAAAAGGCAACAAAAGTACAGAGTCTTGGAAAAATGTGATCTAATTAATAGGGTACAATTTTCAGGTACAACATTTATAGACTCTTACTTTTTCTGTTTTCTGCCCTCAATATTTGGTGACTGGGGAAAAATTGGAGAATTAATGTATTTGGATTACAATAGAAAGAAAAGAAAAGAAATCATCTTTTAAAGAATATGCAACTGGAAAGCAAAAGACCTGAGATCTAGTTGTAAATGTGCCACTAAACACTTAGGTAACTTTGAGTACATCAGTTTATTTTAACTATAAGTGCTCAAAGCAATCTCTCGTGTCTTTTGATATTCTAAAATTGTATGATTCTCAAGACTTCAATCCTTAGAAAGCAAGTTTATGACAAATTAACCAAATAAAATGAAAAATATCTGAAAACTCACCAACTTTATACTTTTATCTTATTTTTTAAAAGGTTCCAGTGGATTTTTATTGGTCAGTTCTTTTTGCTTCACATAGAAGTTACTAGAGTATTAAAAAGAAACTATACTACAGGATAATAAAGTCAAAGAAAATATAAGATCCAAATAGTCATGAAAATCTTGAAATATTAAATAGAAAATTAGTCCAGACTATCCCTTTTTTAGAAAAAAAAAAAGTATTAGATAATTTGAAGATGTAATATAAAAAATAGGAATGACAACCACTCCAGAGGTCAAAAGTAGGAATGAGAAGATAGGTGTAATATCAATGTCACATGGTAAATGAACATCTTTAACAAATGTAATTTAAATTTCAGATGGTTAACAAAACACTCGGGAAATAGATCAGTAAATAATCTTATGTATATTAATTTAGATGAAAAATGAGTTGTTATAACTGCTAATGTTATAAGAGTTACAATTAACCAATTTATTTAAAAAATTATTTTTCAGTTAATTGTATTTGTGACCAGTACTTGAAATTATATGTATATATTTTATTTTATCATGCTGTGATAGCAAAATCATATGGGAAATCATTTTTATTAAATATAATTCATGGAAGTTGATTTGGTTTTTATTTTATTTTTCTTTATAATAAAGTACTATATTTTGTTTACTTGATTATAGACTAAAGGTTCTCAAACCATGACACCCTCTGGAGCCCAGAAAAAAGTTAAAAGAACTCTGCCAAATCCACCTCCTGAGGAGATTTCCACAGGAACTCAATCCACATTCAGCACAATGGGCACAGTTTCCAGGAGAAGGATCTGCAGAACCAACACAATGGCACGAGCCAAGATTCTCCAGGACATAGACAGAGAGCTTGATCTTGTGGAAAGAGAATCTGCAAAGCTTAGAAAGAAACAAGCAGAGCTTGATGAAGAAGAAAAGGAGATTGATGCCAAGCTACGATACCTGGAAATGGGAATTAACAGGAGGAAAGAGGCATTATTAAAGGAGAGAGAAAAGAGAGAACGAGCCTACCTCCAGGGAGTAGCTGAGGATCGTGATTACATGTCTGATAGTGAAGTAAGTAGCACAAGACCAGCTCGAATAGAAAGTCAGCATGGCATTGAGCGACCAAGAACTGCTCCCCAAACTGAATTCAGCCAGTTTATACCACCACAAACCCAAACAGAATCTCAACTAGTTCCTCCAACAAGTCCTTACACACAATACCAATACTCTTCCCCTGCTCTTCCTACCCAAGCACCCACCTCATACACCCAACAATCTCATTTTCAGCAACAAACTTTGTACCATCAGCAAGTTTCACCTTATCAGACTCAGCCAACATTCCAAGCTGTGGCAACAATGTCCTTCACACCTCAAGCTCAACCTACGCCAACCCCACAGCCTTCTTATCAGTTACCTTCACAGATGATGGTGATACAACAGAAGCCACGGCAAACTACATTATATTTGGAGCCCAAGATAACCTCAAACTACGAAGTGATTCGCAACCAACCACTTATGATAGCACCTGTTTCTACTGATAACACATATGCTGTTTCCCATCTTGGTAGTAAGTACAATAGTTTAGACTTGAGAATAGGTTTGGAGGAAAGAAGTAGCATGGCAAGCAGTCCAATATCAACCATATCCGCAGATTCTTTCTATGCAGATATTGATCACCATACTCCACGAAATTATGTCCTAATTGACGACATTGGAGAGATCACCAAAGGAACAGCAGCGTTAAGCACCGCATTTAGCCTTCATGAAAAGGATCTGTCAAAAACAGACCGTCTCCTTCGAACCACTGAGACACGCCGGTCTCAAGAAGTGACAGATTTCCTAGCACCTTTACAGTCTTCCTCTAGATTGCATAGTTATGTGAAGGCGGAGGAAGACCCAATGGAGGATCCTTATGAGTTAAAGCTTCTGAAACATCAGATTAAACAGGAATTTCGTAGAGGGACAGAGAGCTTAGATCACCTTGCTGGTCTTTCTCATTATTACCATGCTGATACTAGCTATAGACATTTTCCAAAATCTGAGAAGTATAGCATCAGTAGACTCACACTTGAAAAACAAGCAGCAAAACAACTGCCAGCAGCCATACTTTATCAAAAGCAGTCAAAGCATAAGAAATCACTAATTGACCCTAAAATGTCAAAATTTTCACCTATTCAAGAAAGTAGAGACCTTGAACCTGATTATTCAAGCTATATGACTTCTAGCACTTCATCTATTGGTGGCATTTCCTCCAGGGCAAGGCTTCTTCAAGATGACATCACTTTTGGCCTCAGAAAAAATATTACAGACCAACAAAAATTTATGGGATCCTCTCTTGGCACAGGACTGGGCACATTAGGAAATACCATACGCTCCGCTTTGCAGGATGAAGCAGATAAGCCATACAGTAGTGGCAGCAGGTCCAGACCTTCCTCCAGACCTTCCTCTGTCTATGGGCTTGATTTATCAATTAAAAGGGATTCTTCTAGCTCTTCCCTAAGACTGAAAGCTCAAGAGGCTGAAGCTCTAGATGTTTCATTTAGTCACGCATCATCCTCTGCCAGAACTAAGCCGACCAGTTTGCCAATTAGTCAAAGTAGAGGAAGAATACCAATTGTGGCCCAGAATTCTGAAGAAGAAAGCCCACTCAGTCCTGTTGGCCAGCCAATGGGAATGGCCAGGGCTGCAGCTGGACCCCTGCCACCAATATCTGCAGACACCAGGGATCAGTTTGGATCAAGCCACTCATTGCCTGAAGTTCAGCAACACATGAGGGAAGAATCACGGACTCGAGGCTATGACCGTGACATAGCCTTCATCATGGATGACTTCCAACATGCCATGTCAGACAGTGAAGGTAAATTGGGCCTCAAACTACCCTGTTACTCTCAAAACTCAAACTCTTATTTTTCTGCATGTTTAATTTCCCTTCTCCAGAGATGTATCCTACTTTTCTTGGTGTGTCTTTTGCATGTTTACTTCAATTTTATTTCTTGTAAATGGAAATTTTATCTTGTGTATAGATTCTGTAGCATGCTTTTCTTTATTTAGTTTTAGTTTATTCCTTTATTGTTCTGTTTCTTGATTGTTTGCTTGATTTGTTTGGTGTCTGCTTTTCTAAAACCATTATCAAATAATTCTGTCAATAAAATATGGTCATCCTATAAATCCATAGTTGAAAAGTTTTTCATTGTATGTTTCTTTCATTTTTTAAAATACATTTTAAAAGTTATTGATCAGTTTCTTTCAGTTTCTGGAATTATTAAAGTTTAGAGCCATGAAATACTATTCTGATAGACTTTGTAATAGAAAATCATTTATGGCATCTTTATGAGATCAGTGTTCATTAGTTCAGAAGATGTTCTATTTTTGAGAACTTTTGGATGAGTTCTTGATGTTAGTATAATGTAGAATTTTGTTATTTTCCTTAAATAAAAGATTTCTATTTCATCTTTCTCTCTCATTATGAATACTATTATTTACAAATTTGTAATTTTGCATTATATGCTAGGAAGTTTAGTACTAAATAAGACATGAAAATAAATAATTGTATTAGTATGTATGAAGTATTCTTTAAAATTGAAACCTTGTAAACTTCTTTTGTGATTTTAGTTATTTATAGTTCAAACTTTCCTGGTTTGCCCATTTAGCCTTTTCCTTTGGTTTCTTGGGTTTTGTTTTGCTTTTTTTGTATCATCCCATGTTTTTGCCCTAAATTGACTTGCTAGATTTCCATGTTAAACAAGTGCTTTAATACAGTAAATGCTTAACTAAAAACTCATTTTAAGTAGCTCTGTTTTTAAAGATATACAACCATAAACATTTTTGAAAATTATCTAGTCCAAGTCTAAGATTGAAGAAGAGGGAGGAATGATACAAGGAGGCTAGCCTATACCAAGAGGATTCATGACTCTTGACTCTTGGTCCTTTTCTTTTCCCTTTCTTTCATTTACATTTGAATGTAGATGTAAATGGAGTTCTGGAAATAATATATTTTTGATCAAATAAAAGCATTATTATTTCCTTCCTTTAGAGACTCCAAAGAACTAAGCTAACATGAACATCTCCCCTTTCAAACCTAACATCTTTCTTGAGGACTCATGGGAAAACACACATTTTTGTGAAAAGGAATTTTTTCCTACATCTTTGTCTAGATGAATAGGATTTTAGAAATTCAAACCTGCATTTTAATAGATTTTTTATTGAACTAAAGTAATCGCTGTATCTGAAGGAGGACAAACTGCTTTTGTTTGTGAAGTTCAAATAGATTAGTCATTTTCTGATTTGTTTTCATCTCTACAGGCTATTGGATTGACCATTTTTATTGACAATTAGTTAATTGAATAAAATACTCAATTTGTGGGTTCTTTATTTAGATGATTATTTGAATAAATGTACATAGCAGGAATTGTGATATTATGTGGAAACAGTCTTTAATATTTCCTTTTTACAATCCACATTTTATAAACATTTTATACATAAAAAATGACAATTGCAGAAGAGTAAAGAGATTGTTCAATAGTCATGTCTATAAAATAACAAAATAAAACAAAAACCCTAGAGGGTCTATGGCATAACGAAATGCCTTAAGATTGTGTGTACATGATGAGCATATATCTAAAGAGAGTTTGACAAATTGATTTATCATCATATACTGTCCACGTGCTGCCAGATATTTAGATGTTTCTATATATCCCGATATGTGGCATTTTCTTATGTGTACAGCCATATAAAAATAACAGAATATTCTATTTCCCTTTTATATGTTTGAATGATGTATAGGTCATAATCATCAAAGACTGTGTGAAAAACATTGTTTTGATAAAATAGAGGATGAGATACCATGCAGCATATAAAATTATGAAGTGTGTAAAGATGATGCCAAATAAGTAAAGCAATTAAAATTTAAATGAAATTAAACTAAAAAATATTTTTAAATTAAGCAGACAAGGAAATTATTCATAAAGATTATGTTGATATAAATTTGGGCAGGAAAACTATAACAATTATATATGACATATATGTAATGGTATGTGTGTGAATTGTAGTGATTACTTCTAAATGATGTATGTAGTAAAATGTTATATATTTTCTTTGTTTATATATCACATAAACATACTATTTTTCTTCTAATGAGTAATGGTCTACTTTTCGTTTGAAATCTTGAATTCCTTCAGTATTTAAAAAAAATAGAAACTACTTTTTTTCCCAATCAATAATTCCCAACATTTATTAACTCATGAAGTATTAGGAATTTTTAACAGATTTTTAGCAAATATATGCTATATCTATATTTGAATGTACTAAGATAACTTTGAACAGTATAACATTCTACAGGTTATTTAGTATCCTGTGAACAAAACAAATTTAATTGCTTTCAAACTATTTGTTGTGTGCTTTTCCATATTCAATTAAACTCTGTAAGTTATAGGATATAAGACAGTCATTAGATATATTCTAAAAGATTCGTTGATGTTGAAATATCTTTCTTGAGGAAAAATCTATATAGACATAGTTTATGTTGCTTAATATTTATTAATATTTTTAGCTTGAGGCAAGCTAGAAACAGGCCGGACGTGGTGGCTCATGCCTGTAATCCTAGCACTTTGGGAGGCTGAGGCGGGTGGATCATGAAGTCAAAGGATCGAGCCATCCTGGCCAACATGGTGAAACCCCGTCTCTACTAAAAATACAAACAATTGCTGGGCATGGTGGCGCACACCTGTAGTCCCAGCTATTTGGGAGCCTGAGGCAGGAGAATCGTTTGATCCGAGAAGGTGGAGGTTGCAGTGAGTTGAGATCGCGCCACTGCACTCCAGCCTGGCGACAGAGTGAGACTCCATCTCAAAAAGAAAAAAAAAAATGTAATTCATCTCATGTCCTCCAATATATACAATCTTTTTAAAAGTATATATATTTGACCAATATGAGAAGAACTAAACTATTTATGTAAGTGTAGCCTGTGGACAGTACTAGATCCAGAAATAACTTATTCGTATATTACTTTTAAGAATTCAAGAAAATAATGCCAAGTTTAAAAAAAAAGATATTGTTAATCTCCTTCAAATGATCGGAACTAATTCAGAATTTTTTTGTTATAAAATTTACTTTTTCACTTAGATTTTACCATGAAAGATGAGACAGTTATAAACAATTAACATTTATATACAACTGGTTCTAAACAATGAAAACAAAATTCAATACAAAAGCAGATTGATTTCATCTACTTGCTGTTGGTTGATTATAAACTCCTGCACAACGGATGATAGTCATCCTTATTCAGTTACACATAGTGTTATTATAAAAAATAACAGAAAATCAAAATACATAATCAGAATTATTGGCAATAAATTGTAAGAATTTGGGTCAGGTTGAACTTCTACTTTATTTCTATAGACACAGCCAAACAAAACACACATTTTAAAGAATTGTATTTCAAATGCAATTAAGAAAGTTATACATTCAAATGAACTCATGTACTACATTATAAAGGATATTAATTTATTAAAATAAGTATACATTTTTTTCTATTTTCATGAGAAATCTATAAAATCCTATAAGAAGACAAAAGTAGTGTCAATGTCATTGAGAATAATCTAATAAATTTTAAGAGATGAATGATTAAATAATGAATTTGTTTTGTATTTACTTGTCAAATGTCTATTACACTAAATTTCTTGGTAAGTTCAGTCACTTGGTTTCAAATTAAGACTATGGAAAACCATAATTATTGAGTAGATTGTGAAAAATATCTGCATCAATGAGGTTCAAAGGACAAATTAACATTTATTTTTAAATGTGTTTATCATAATTAGGATGTTAACTACTTTTTCTAGTTGATGACTAATTCTGTGCTTCATTCATGCCAATATTTATTCGATGTTATGCCTTAGGCAGGGCATTGATTTTAGTATTGAGGGAAGGGGGGAAAAAAAGGACAATATGAGCCTTGCCTTTAGGCAGCTTAGAATAGGTGAGATCAGTCAAGTACGTATGCAATCACAAAACAGATAAGTATTAATGTATTTTCTGAAATCTAAGACCGATGAACCCATGACACATCATTGCTCGTTTTGTATTATGGGAGGAAAATGCTGTGGTTAAGTAGCAGTGTTTACCACAGGATGTATAGAGGTGACTAGTAGTACATATGCTGTGGGTTTGCCAGTCCCAGCAGCAATGAAATGATGGAAATGGCCTAGGGGAAAAGATTTGGAGGAGGTTTTGGAAAAGATGATAGTCAGGAATGCAGATAGAAAAATAAAAGTATATTGTATGACCTTCTAGAAGCTGGAGTTTCAGGAAAGTAGAGGTTGACAACATCATCAACTAATCTAAGCATCATCAACAAAGGATAAGCACTTGAGAAGCGTTGTTCCTTCTACTGTTTAGGAAGCAACAAAGTATTTCCAGAGACTGTTAATTAGAGATTCTTTTACAAAGAATAAAACAATTTATTAAAAGGAAAATTCTGTATATTAGGGAAAATAAGATGTTCAGTCATTATAGAATATCTTGAAAAGACCTATGAAATACTAATGAATGAAATTTATTTTAAAATAATAATTGTGTACCTTAAATATAGTTGCATTTTCAAAAAAGTATGCTGTGAAATTTTGTCATAGTGTAAGTATAAAAAGCATGCAACCAACTCTTCAATCTATCTTCTAAATCAGTGCTTCTCTTCAAAAAATAATCATTTTATTTTTATTTAACAATTATAATAGAAGTATTTTTAATATTAGGCTACTAAGTAATCATGGCGCACATGTTCCTAACAAGAACACCAGAATTCTCTTAGAAACAAATGTTTTTGTTCGTTGTGAATGTCATAGAAATGTCATATTTTCAAAAAATAATGTTAAAGCTAGCAACAACCTATTGGCACTGGATTGATGTAATGGTGGGAAAGTGACAGAAACTTCCATACACAAGGAATCCTTTTTTGTTTTCATTTTTTATTATACTTTACGTTCTGGGATACATGTGCAGAACGTGCAGGTTTGTTACATAGGTATACGTGTGCCATTGTGGTTTGCTGCACCCACCAACCCATCTTAAATTTTTTTCTTTTTTACTAGTGGGTTGTGGGTAGAGTATGGGAGACAATGTGTGGATGTGGGAACTGATGGGCTGAGGTTAAGTAGAATGACCCTTTTGAAGAATGATCACTTGTTCATTTATTTATTTTATCACGATCTAAATTTCTTTTTTCTCTTGATTTGAAATTTGGTTTTGTTTTGCTCTGAGATTGTGAACATCTGTGTGCGTCATTTTTTCTAGGCTATTCTATGGTTTAAAATTTTTGACATAATTTGATTTTTGATATAATAACAAAAATAATTTTTCTAGTCCTAATGGGAAATGTGTTTGAAATGCATGTATGGTTAACAAGCCTAGTGCATGCTAGTACTACAGAGCATCTGCTGCCCTCAATCATCTATATTACTTGCCGTTGCAATGTATGATGTTTCCTTGGTGTCCAAAGCCTATCATCTGCGTCGTGAGGAAACAGATTGGTTTGATAAACCCAGGGAGTCTCGTCTGGAAAATGGACATGGTCTGGACCGAAAACTGCCAGAAAGATTGGTCCACTCTAGACCACTCAGCCAGCATCAAGAACAAGTAAGTGCTATATTTAGCAATTTCTTTTAGATTTATCAAAAAAGACTCACTTCTATGTTAGAATGGTCTTAGTTGTCCTAAAAGGAATGAGATATTTGTCCATTCATTTCACAATTTTTTTTTCCAATAACATAAAGGAGTAACACAGCTTGCTTCCTCAGCTATGACTGATTGAAATTGGACTGTGATACTTCTACCAATTTAAGTGATTGATTCCTCCAACAGATCATTATTAAGTTTGTATAACATATCCAGCACAGCTCTACAACAAGAATATATGGAGCTCTGAGAGCTTACAGGTGACTGGGTGAAATGAATTTGGGTAATTTTCAATGCTTGTTCAGATGCTAAGAACAAGTGAGAGGATGGCCAAACCAAGTGAGCTGGGATAGAAAGAAGGCTTAACCTGGGGGAGAAAGGAAGCTGATATTTTAGTGGATCTATTACATGGAAATGTTAGCTGTTTTTTTATGTATTTTTGAATTTTATATACAGAATAACTCACATAAAGTAGATATTACTAATCAGTGTATTCTTATAGATGAAGAATTGAAACTTTGAGGTAAATTTCACAATTAAATATGACACCAAAATTCATGATCTTACTCACTTTTGAGCAAATGAGGTGATGTTTGAATTGAATTTTGAAATACACCTACAAGATTGAGTTGAGTGAATTGAAGGAGAACCTTCACGTAAGCCAAATGGCCTTAAATCAATTGCCTTAGCAGATCAGATATTCGCAGGTTGTGTACTCATTATGATTATTAAAATATCCAAAATAAATAGTTGACTTATTTTATTTACATTAACTCCTAAATCATCCTGTTTAGTGATTCATTGATATAGAAAACAACCGTATTTTGAACAACTGAGAAGATCCATATAGACTTACTATAATTTAATTCAGTGTTTGTCATTTTGAGGTATAAAAGAAAACAAGGCTTTGACATTTATAAGTACTGTCTAAAATACATTGTCTATACTCTTAGATTTGATTTCTTTCTAAGCAATTTAAGTTTTCATAGACAAATTTCTACCTATTAAACAGAATTTTTTCTTAGAATTTTGTTCTGTTTTTCTATGTACTATCATATTTTCTAGAATTCTTAGAATTCCTCTCTACTATAAATTTCTGTCTTTAGTTTTTGATATCTTTAATACATATTTTGTTTAGGCTTATGTTTATCTCCATTAAAATGTCAATATAATTCCTTTTTTTTTAACTTCGTGTAAACATATCAGCCTGTATTGAACTATGCTTTCATTAGCTTGTCTTGCTATTAAAATTGTATTTGTGGTTGTATTTGAAATCTCATCAAATAGATCTGGCTAGAAAGTAAGAAAATTAATAAAATTATTCTGCACATTTAAAATCTTAAATTTACCTCCTTTTATCTACAAATTTGTCAGTTAAAAATAACTTCCTTAAATGTGTTTATTATATGAATCTCTCTAAAATGGAATATTTGTTATATCTTACCCATCTCATTTGCTTCTCTGAAGTTTAGTGTTTCCCACAAACCTAGAACAAGTCAAAGAAAACACAGATACTTTAACAAAATCATAGTAAGATCAACTGCATAAAAAGGGCAGCTTGTTTAGTAATTAACAAACAGGAATATTTATTGTCAACACTACTGTTTCCATGGGCACTGAGAATAGTCTTTTCCACCTAAGTTATCAAACTAATATTCTTTGAGGATATATTTAAAGTAATTTAAAGAATATATATTAAAGTATCCAGTCCAAAAATATGTAAATGAAATATTCATATCTTTAAGGACATTCTTGTTTCAATTTTATGTTGCTAATATACAGATTTATGGTTTTGGTCTACTGAGTACATAGTAATAATGGTTTAAATAATATATAATTATAGACAAATATAATGTCAAAATTAAGCAGAGAAGGTATTTTTGAGAATCATTTAATAAATTTCTTGCTATGTCTTCTCAAGTAGAAACATAAGGATTCTTGTTAGGTGAGTATAATTATGTGTATATTCTTGCTAAAAGTAATTTTTTACATTTGTATAATTTTTTACATTTTCACATCTAACATACAAACAAACAAACAAAAAACTATGTATGTACTACTGAAACTGCAACTATGCAAAGTTATAAGCTAGTTAAAAGTGAACAGCCATAAAACCGCCACACAGGCCAAAAAAAGGAACATTGCCTGTCCCAAAACCCCTGTATGTCCCTTCCAGATCATAACCACTCCCTTTCCCAAATAAGTAACAAATGTGCTGAGTTTTGTGAAAATAATTTGTTTTTCTTTATCATTTTTTTTCTAAATAGATTCTGCTATAACATACATTCTAATTACGTGAAGTTCAAGAGTTGAATTATATAAAATTCAAAATTCATGCTTTTTGCATTATTATTTATCTTCAAATACTGTCTCCCTCTTTAACTCATCATAACTATATTTTGACTTGGAGAATCACAAAATGGCATTATCATGTTATTAACTTCTTTGCATCTCTAATCATAAAAAGCTAATATTGAGCTCTTGGTACTAATAAACTCAGATGCTTTTATTTGAAAACATATGCATAACAAGAACTCATATTCATAAAATGCTTTGGAGGCAAAAGTAATAAAACCAATAATACTAATGCAAACACTAATTTATCTCCTTTTAAAACTCATTTGCATAAAACAAACATTAGAGGGATAGAAGAATATTTCTGAAAATTTTTATTAGACACACAATCATATTAATTATAAAATAAACCAAATCTAAAAATCCATATTTGCTTCATTTCAAATATATATGTATTCTTATGTATGTGTGTATGTGTGTGTGTATCTATCTATGTATCTATCTATGCTTAACCTCTGCCTTCAGTAGAAATTCAGCTCTGCTTTGTGAATTGCACAGATAGCCTAATCTCTTATTTTTTAAATTTTACTTTAGTCACTTACTCTATAAATAAGACTAATACCTTTCACAGGGTAGTTGTAAAGGTCAACACTTCTTGACTATTATAAAATCCCTTCGCTTTCTGCACTTATACTCACATCATCTGCAATTCATCTGCAACTGCTTGATTGAGGTACATTAAATTCCCACGAAAGAGCCACTCTTTCTCTTGATTCTAGGAATTCGAATGTTCTGTTTTCTCTCCTTGGACACTTTTCCTCCACTCATCCCTTGGCAAACCCTAATCATCACCCAGGTGTCTGTGTACATGCCCCATCATGCAAGAAGACTCCCCTGACACTACCACCCCTACTTCCCCAGAAATCTGGGGTAAGTGTTCTTCCTTTGTGCTCCAATAGTACCCCATGTATTAGGTCTTGGGCTGTGAGCTTCTTGAGAGCCAGCAGCTCTCTATCCCAACTACCATGTTATATATGTGTACAGTGCTAGGAACCCAGCAGGGCACTCTGTCTCCTGCATCTAGAATGTGTGGTATTTAAGTGAGAGAATGGGTGAATGTCTGTAGGAATACACAGTAAGTTAACAAAAAGGGCATAAAGGCTATCTGTCTTCCATGTATGAAGTAAAGGGCTCAATTCATTCCCTTTTTGTTAACATACTCTTTATATATACAGGCTTGATTCATGAAAATAACTCTGTTTGAAATATTTGTAGGTAGGGAAGAACAGCCCTCTTTCTGGGAGGCCTATAGGCAGTAATCCTATCAATGAGGAATCACCAAAAGACAGTGATAACAGAGACCATCCCCTTGGGGAGAGGAATGTAGCACCACTTGACATCAGTTCTGCCCCTTGGCTTTGTGCTTACTCTTAGTTGGCAGTAGCAACTCCGACCCATAACCCCATCTGCTATAGGACTCTCTCAACATTCACCCTCTGTGGTTACTAAAAAACTGAAATTCATCTAGCTCATACAATTATTCATACATGGAAGACATATAGACTTTTGATCATGCTGCTCATAATTATGGCAGTTTCGTGTTTCTGATTTATTAAGTGGATTTATGAAGCTGCTTGCAGACAGCGTAGACAGTCTCTGAAACTATAGGAGATGATCTGAGATGCTCTGAAAGCAATATTCAAGAAAATTAAGATGTGCAACATTCCTTCTACTATAAAATAAAAGGCAACAGTGGCTATTTGATAAAACTGGTGAAAAAATTAGGAAGCCTGATGATGACTCTTCTAAACTATGTGATAGATTCACTATGAGATTACATCAACATCTCCCCAGTCTGAAAATTGGAAAGAATACTAAAAGACAAAATTGTGTTTTCTTAGTTTATTTTTGACCAAATGGAAAGAATAACGTTTTGGAATTATTATTAACTAATATCTGAGATTAGAACAGATTGAAATAAAATGAAGTAACATGCAATTTTACTGACTTATCTGCAGTACCAAAGCAAAGTGCAGTTATACCTAATAGTTACAAAATTTTCAATACACACGATTTTATTTTTAGTAAAAAATAAAGATTTTTAAATGCAGATTAGGAAAGGAAAAGAAAGGAAGAAGAAGGAAAGAAAGTAGGAGAAAAAGATGTGGGGAGGGCAAAGTAACCAAGAGAAAGGAAAGAGTGAGGGGCAGACTGAGAGACAGACAAGAGAGATAGAGACAGGAAAGAAGAGTGAACAGCAGGCAAGAGAGGGATAAAGAAGAAAAATGTAAGCACTTATTACAAATATGAATAAGGTTTTCCATGGTTTACAAAGTTAACATTACTATGAATTATCTGAATTGACTTATTATACTTGCCCTAATGTTTTTATAATTTAGTAAACAGTATTTTTGTTTTACTCTGCAGAATTCACATAATATTCCTGGATTTAACAGGATTTCGCTATTGTTTAGGGAATATTTTATGTTAACCTAAGGCCTGCTTAAGCTTATTCTTTCCTAAAGAGAAAAAAAGCTAAAGGCTAAAATTTTAGCTTTAGTTTTTAAAATATCTGTTTTATTTTTAAAATCCAGAATTCTAACAATTTTACAGCTGGAAATACTAGGACACATTAAGGTCACAAGAGTTTTCTAAGGAACCTTTCTTCACAAAATGTATACCTCTTTAGTCCTAAATTCTGTTTCATCTTTTGGAAACACACTTCTTAAACATTCTAAAATAGGTAATATGAAATCTTCATCTATATTAAACTTTATTTTGGTTGTAATTTAAGTCAAAAATTTTCTTATGACAATACATACAAAATTCCATACAAATAAAGTCCTGTTAATACAGATAAGAGTAAATATTTTGCCATTTCTGTCTTTCATTATTTTATAAATCTCTTTTGAAAGCAAAGTTCCATAAAATATAAAGTACAAGTTTGCATTTTGCAATTTACTTTTGTTTCAGAAACTTCATTTCACCAGGTGGAAACACAGATAATGCAGTCTATAATATTCTCATATTCAAGTCTCAATAATGAGAATTGAAATCTCAGATTTGCAACAGTAGCTTTAAGTGTTACTTATTCTACCCTAAGGAATGTCTAGGAGACATAACACTATCAATAATGCAAGCTTTGAATTTTAAAAAGTATTAAGTGAACAAAGACTTTATTTATTTATATAGAATTAGCCTCTGCATCTAGTTTACAATGAAACTTCTAGTACATGGGCTCAGCAGAAGTACAATGCCACAATAAATCAAGCAACATAAACATAAAGCAATCCTGATTATGATAATAGAGATGTCAAAGTAGGAGGATCTTCTCTGTTTTTTTCTCCCCGGCACCACTTAATTGCTGAAAATTAAAAATGCTTTTCCATTCCTAGGCTGTCCAGAGCAAAATCAGCAGCTGGCATTTTCCATATACATTCTCTATCCGAGGTCATCAGTATTGACTGCATACTACTGTAGTAACAAACGTTCTTCAGAACCTATTGCGTGCACTTATTAATTTTTCAAATACAACAAATCAGTTCGCAACAGCCATAGGTTACAAATGCAAAAACCATAAGAACTCAGAACCAGCAATATCATTATATAGTGTTCATGTAAGGTGTTTAAATTGCCATCATGTGAGAATCTCCTACTATGTTCCATTGATTTAATCAATGTGCTTTGAAATGAACCATTCTCATTATATATATTGCACTTTAAGTATCTTTAATGTTGGTTTTTTACCTTATTACATGTATGTCTTAGATCATACAGATGAACGGGAAAACTATGCACTACATCTTTCCTCACGCAAGGATAAAAATAACAAGAGACTCAAAGGATCACACAGTTTCAGGTAAAGCAAATCATATAATCTAATTTTTTTTTATTCTAATGTCAGATTGACATATGTACTGACATTTGGGTTTCATTTTACATGACTCAGGACATTTTGGAAAACTTTTTATATCAAAATTGTGTTTTTAGAAATGTAAAAAAACAAGCAGGATATACATTTGAACATAAAAGACATTTATGACATGATCATCAATATGAGGAGGTACTAAATGGTACATATTTGCATCATTCTTTTCATTAACCATATGTTTTAATGCACCTGGTATTACAATGCTTCGCAGGAATTGCTGTATTAAGAAATATGGTCACTGGTTGTAGGAATACAAGACGTTCTTACATAGGAAATTAAAAATCTGTCTTGAATTCTTCTAAGGAATAAATTCCCCTATTTCTACTCAACTTGAACACTCAATTTATGCTGGGGTTTTGTTTGTTTGTGTTCCTTTATAAGCCAAAGCTAATAGTGATCTTTTTATCTGGAAATAATTTTGGATTTCCAAATGTAATACAGACATTCCTTTTGCCCACTCTTTGCCCAACATTACTAATGTTAACTTCTAATCCCAAAAAAGTGATCAAACCCAGGAAATTAACATATATATGATAATATTAAAATATCTATAAGCCTTATACAAATGTTGAGTTTCTCCACTAACCCACCATTTTTTTTTTTTTCTGGTCCAGGATCCAGTTCAGGATCCAGTTCAGGATCCCACATTGCATTTAATTGTTTGACTCTTGCATCTCCTCCAATCTGATAGGTCCTCAATCCTCCTTTGCCTTTCATGACCTGGAAGCTTTTTGAAAGATATATGAAATTTTTATATTACAATTAAATAGTTCATATTTAAATCAATGAGATGAAATATAAATTGTTCCAAGTTAATGAAATTTCAAAAAATGAGTATTACCTATATTTTTGGTCAAGTATGTTCTTCGAATTTCATGGACAATGTGCATCAATAGAAAATATTCAAATACGTATAATTTATGTATTATATATGTATAGGCAGTACATCTAACATGGTATATGTACTGTATTTTCTTTTTTAAGCACTGATATAACAAACAGGGTCTTTCTTTACTGTAATTGCTATTGTTCCTTGCAGATCTTAGACAATGGAACATGTGGACGTGGAACAGGTTTTGCTTTGAGCAAATTTCTTCTTATTTTCACAGAAAATGAATTGATTAGGAAGCTAATGTTGTTTTCCTTTTAAGAGTAGGTAACTTTTCTTCTGCCAGAGACAGATAATTCAGACTTTCAAGTTTTATTGCTGTTCAAACTGTATTTTAAGTACTGATGAAAATTCCAGGGTGAATCTTAAAATCCAAGGGCTCCTTTTGTGGAAGTAATTACTTGCTAAAAACGATTTCAGTTTCCTCCAGCTCATAAAGCAAAACAACATAATATTTTCTAACAATGCCAAAATTATTTTTTCATGATGTACAATGGAAATCTTAAAATCATTTTTTTCCTAAATCATCAGAACCTATGCCAATGTGCCTGTTTTCTAGCTGTATTATTTTATACTCTATTAAGAATTATTCCTGTTGTGGGGTGGGTGGAGCGGGGAGGGATAGCATTAAGAGATATACCTAATGTAAATGATGAGTTAGTGGGTGCAGCACACCAACATGGCACATGTATACATATGTAACAAACCTGCACATTGTGCACATGTACCCTAGAACATGAAGTATAATAAAAAATATACATAAAAGTACTCTACAAAAAAAAAAAGAACTATTCCTTCAACCTTATTATTTATCTTTCCTACTCTTTAGTTATTATTTTACTTTAACTAGAAACAAGTTTTAAAACATAACATTGCAAAAATAAATGCTAGCTCTTTAGTAAATAGTCTAGTCTCAAAAGTAAATTTAATTTCTTCCATATATACATTTCACAGAAAGAGAAAAGGTTATTGTTTTGGACAATAAATTTGCTAGTAATGTACTATATCTTTTCTGTGAATGCCCCTTTTTCTTTTGATATCTACCTAGAGTAATACTAAAAATGGTTTCCTTGTTATAGTTACCCTGTATTGATTATTACTGAATACATTTTCCATATGTCTTAGGAAAAATAACCCCATACTATATTAAGTCTTTTAAAACAATCTGCATTTTATATTCTACTTCTACTTTTAATTGTTTTAAATACATCCACATATGAGGCTAGAACCAGAAGTTACAATCTTTGACAGTGTCTGGAAGTTTTAAACCAGTGCCAGGGAAACGATGGCAAAGAACATTTACACTCCTGGCTAGTCTCTGTGTCATTTTCTGCTCAACAAAAAGCCTACTTTGATTGACTAAATATTTGGTAATATTAAGGATTTATTGTTAGCTATACTTTCATTTATATGTTAATGTTTTAATTGAATTTATGTATTTTTTAAATTGTTTGATAAAGTGGTATCATATACATCATGATGTTTTGAAGTATATATACAAGTTTATATGTTTCATGAAACAATGATAACTACATGAGATAATGCTTATATTAATTAGCTAGAGTTATTACAACAACTGTCTTAGCATTGTTCTATAATACAATATATTGTTATTAACTATAATTACCACTGAATGTATCTTTTGGAAATGCAAACTAAAATATTTACAGATTAAATGATATCATCTGAAATTTACTTCAAAATTAGCTAAGTGTAGAGAATGGTGGAGATGTAGATGAAATAAAATTGAACATAATTTGTTGATTGTTGGACTTAGAGTTAACCACATTGGATTTTATTGTAGTCTTACATTACATTTCCATATATTTAAATTTTCCATAATAAAATTGTATAATTACTGTTTGTTTTTCATGTTCACAGTGAAACAGCGGTATGCAAAAGCTTCATCAATAGTGAAAAAGCTAGCAAACTAATAATTTAGCTGTCTTTGTGAGACAAGACAAAGATTTAAGCAACAAAGTAGTAAAGAATAAAATGTAGTATATCTGTTCTTTTATGGTGGAAAATGGCCATTAGTGAATTTTAATTTTGGCTACATAAACTCATTGATAGTAAAACTACTGTGAACCTTTTATAATATTTTAATAGACAGTTCTAACTTTATAAATAGTTTATAAAAGTTATATAAAACAAGCGTACCTGGGAAATAAAAGAAAAAAATTATTTAGGAAAACAAAAATAATTTCAGAATAGAAGAGAGAAGTAATGGTTCATTTTGTTTAGTTTTTAATGTTCTCCTGTGTGGTTCTCAAAATAATGTCAGTGGGACCCTCATGATCTCAAAGATTCTTTCAGGGGGGTCCACAATTCAAGACTATTTTAATAGTAATGCAAAGGCAGAATTTGCCTTTTTCATGCTCATCCTTTTTTGAATATACAATATAGTTTTTCAGAAGTTATTTAATGTGTGACTTCACAAGAGATTTGATACAGAAGTAGCTGTGAAAATTCAACAGGCTTCTATTAAGTCCAAATTAAGCCGATTTACAAAAATTTAAAACAGCATTCCCCTTCTCATGAATTTTGCTTATAAAATAGTTATTTTTAATAAAATATTTATTTTAACATGGAACAAGTTTATTATTTTAAATGTGTTAATAAATATTTTTAATTCTCAATTTTAACTTATAATATGGAAAATATACATAGCTGTAACATATATAAAGAAAAATTGCTTGAGATACTCAGTAATATTAAAGAGGATATATGTTTCCCCAAACCAAAAGCTTGAAAGCCACTGCTGTAACAATATCTGCAGTGAAATTTTTTTTCAAAAAGGAAATATACTTTTTTCTCCTTATTAAAAAATATATACAGCATAAAATAAACTGTTTCTGTAACTCATAGTGGATACATTTTTAAATATTTATTCATTGATGATCATTCATTTATCATCCATGGTATGACTTAAATATTGTTGGGTGCTAGATTAATAGAGTGAACACAACAAAGACCCAGATTTTTAATGTACTAACAATTTAGTAGGAGGACCTGAAATGTAAGTAATTATTACTATAAAATTTTAGGAACAACTGAGACAACAGTCAAGGAATTTATAAAGTTATTGTTCATACCCATAACTATGTATGTGTGTGTATATACACACAGCTATACAGGTGCACCATGATTTATAATTTTTAATGTACCTAGAGAGAAACACAGGCATGTAATCTTCTATTAAATGGTTCACAATTTTTAGAAAATATATCCTTTAACTTTTAACCTGTTAACTTCAAAGATATAAGTGTTTATCAACAACTGTACAATAGTTTTGAAAGTCCTCAGCAAAACACAAGGCAACAGAGTGGAGAGAATAGGTAATAAGTTTTGGAATTATAAATACCTGTGTTGAAATTCAGCTCTAACACATGTAAATTTTGAGAATAAGTTTGTTCATCTGTAAATAAAATGAACTCCGTGTATCTCATCATTGTAAGTGAACCTAACACAAAGTATTGTACTTACTGTATGCTCAACAAATGTTATTTCCTCTTCTCTTAAAGTGAAATGAACAGAAAAAAAAAAAAAGAACAAAATGTGATGCTCAAAAAAATAAGTCTCCTTTTATTTCTTATTTGAAACTCCATCTTATGGCTTCAGAAACACAGCTGTTTGAAACAAGCCAAAGAAATTCTTCTGGTTTTTAAGGAAGGCATTTGCTATGTACAGTTCTATAATGGACTGGCTACATCTGCAAGGCTAGAAAGACTTAGCAATTATAATAGTGAAGAACACTAAAAATGTTAAGTTTGAAAAGATAGCATTGTCTTCTTAGGAAATAGAGGCTCATTTTCTGTTCTGCATTAGTCACCATCTTTATGAGTTTTTAGAAACAGAGACAAATTATGACAGATCTCATTGGATCCTAGTTGGCAGTAGTACCACATGTGGATAACTTTATATTATTATTATTATCATTATTTTAACAGTTTTCTTGGATATAGCTTACATATCATAAATATCTATTGTTAGTGTACAAATCAATGACTTTAATACATTTACGGAGTTGTGCAATCAT